GAACCAGCACAGTCAGATAGTTGAATCATGTAATAATTTTTGCAACTAGCAAATGCTATTTGAATGTAGTATTAACTGAAATCTTTTCTCCCCTCAAAAAGCCATAATGAATGATGATGTTCCCTGAGAATTTTTTCACTGCTAGCTGTAACTTTTTAGTATTGTCACTTTGGGGTCATCTTGTTAAAAAAAGAGTTACAAAGAACATTTAGATAAAAAGCTGGAATGTGTTCTAACCATTCAGAGTGACTATGAGGGTTGTGAAGGGTGGTGATCGGTGAGACCAGTATGATTGCTGAGGAGTAAATTCTTTAAGAGCATCATCACAGCATATGTATGATGTGCTTTAGAGAAATAACCATCAATTTCCATGGAGAGTCTTCCAAACACTTGCATTTCACTACCATTCATCCTGTAGATCAATTAAAAATTATTAATATTATTTTTAATAATGAGTTGTTGTGCTACTTCACTGTCATCTATGGGACAAGAAAACTATGTTTCCATCTGTCACTTATATCAGAATAAGGTAATTTTAAGAAAGCATTGTAACAGAATCAATGCCTCAAGCTTTAAAATAAATTATTAGAATTTCTTGATATTTATCTTATCTGGAAAAATCCTATTTTATGAGAGCAAACTTTTTTCTTTTGAATTATCTCTAAAATAATTGCATTTTATAATGCACCTTGAAAATAATGTCCTAATTTTCTGATTAACTTAGTGATGGCTATGAACTAGTTAATATATACATTACAGACCCATTTCATACTCAATATAGCAGTTATATTGTTGTTTTGGGACTGGTACAGTGACTCTATTTAACTTCAAACTTCACAAAAATCTGAAAGGTGTAAATGATTGTTTAGGATAGTCCAAGTTCTGAGACTTTTTGAGAAACAGACAGATGGAAAGTTAATATTACACAAGAGAACAGAACTTCATGTTCTGCTTATGCAAATTCTTAACCATTATTTCTGAACATTCAAAGATAAAGTTTGGTTAAGTTAGGATACAGTCCTAGAAGGCAGATAACAACTGTATATTCATCAGGCTGCTATATTCACTCTAATTAACTTGCTTCTAAAGCTTTAATTTATATCACAGAGAAAAATCTAAAGATGTGATAAAGTGTTTACATAAGTAAATATGAAAAAACAGATTTATCTGCTGTTTTACAAAATGATTTACATAGAGGTCTAAGATTTTTCAAGTTCTAGGATGAAAAAAATCATAAATCATCCTAAATTTCACTCTAATTTCCTTGTTTCTTTTTTATTAAAAGGACTGTCTAAGGTCAAGTCCCTACACTGTACTTGTACTCTGAATTTCATTTTTAGTTTATCACTTGACGTGACGGATAACAAAGCTCACATTCCTCTGTAGTCTGTGCATTTTCTTTTATCTAGGTCAGAATGAACATGTTACATTATAAATGTTTTAGAAACTTTGCTTTCTGACCTGAATGGCCTACAGTTGTTCTTAGGTTTGAGGTAATCAGTGGGATGTAGCAAAGAGACCTTTATATTTTACTTGGCTGTTCTTATTTGAACTATTAATGCAAAAATAACTTGGAGTATTAAGGCAGTTCAGTGAAAAAGCAAACCAAATGTTAGTGTCAGGAACGAATACTGAAACATGAAAGAATAGCTAAGATACAATGAAGTAAAAGTCTTGAAACTCAGAACTAGATGTTCAGAAATTATCAATTCTGCTTAGAAGTATGCAGAGAGTACTTGCATTGAAAAAACATCAGTAACGCATTATCAAAGAGGAATTCTTGTTCTGTTTAACAATGGAAAGTAGAGATAAATCTGTGGAACAGCCATGAATTGAATCCTTGTCTTTTGAGAACTTTCCTAGATATTTAAAGATGAAACCAATCCTTATATAGTATTGTGGATTTCCATTTGGTCATTAAAAGATATTTCCTCTTGCACAGAAAAAATAACCAAAATCACCCACTTCAAGACATCCTTTCCTTACTCCTCAATACTACTTTTCAATTCTTTTCCTTTGTCTCTTTTGCTCTTTTTCTGAAAGAGCATATTGAGATAATCGATGTAAAAAAATCTGAGGCAGATAGCAGTGTGCTTTGTGCAGACTTCAGTGAAAGAGAATAAATGGAGGTTCTTTAACAACAAAAAAAAATTCCTTTCTTAACTTTATTTGTATCTCACAAAAATATTGTGACAATTGATATTTATTTCACATCCTGGATAAAGTGAAAAAGGGAAAACATCATTGTTACTGATCACAATTTAGATACACTCTGAGGGAGCTCTGACAGCTTACAGGGTAGCAGTATATGCTGATAGTTTTCCAAATTATTATGCATTACATTCAGTTTGACCCAAGAAATTTCTAAAACTTTATTTCAGTGTAAATTCATTAAACGTGGCAGTCCAGCAGAATACTTTTGGAAATACATTTGGAAACTGAAGGGAAAAAAAGAAATAAAATCTTTGCAATTTTCATACTTTAGTAGTAGTAGTTGTTGAAACCTTTTCTATTGCTAGCACACCTATTGGAGTGCTATATATAGGTTAAAAAAGACAAAAAAAAAAAAAAAAAAAAAAAAGCAGCAAGATTTGAGTGATTTGAGTGTCAAGATTTACATGATTTCCTCACATAGGTTTTTACTGGAGATCTGAAACTATTTTATCTTGCTGTCTCTTCTGGAAATGATTTATAATGATAATGATTGCAAATCAGATCAGTAACAATAATAGGGTGATAACTGAGATAATAGTCCTGAAATACATGCCCAGCACAATTGTGTAAACTCACTGCCATCAGCATTTCTTTCTGACTACATTGTTTGTGGGTATTAGTGACACTATACAGAAATGTGATGTTTTCTTTCACTGACGCTTGGTTGTTGGGAATAGCTTTCCTATAACAGCACAGTGCAATCATTTATAATTAAGAGTTGGTCTGAAATTACATGACAAAGTCTAAGTGACTTTTGGATTAGAGATTCACAATGGATGAAGCATCAGAATAATTGTCTTTCAGTGTGAATTTTACATTTAATTAAGACCTCATCTGCAGTATTTTAGTACAGATTTTCTGTTGGCAAACCAAATGCCAAATTGCTTAATGAGAATTTATACAGACTGGGAATCTCCTTTAGTAGGTCTCTTATTTTAAAAAACAAATGTTGTGTACATGACTTGAATGATAGTTTTTACCCAATATAAATTGCTAGAAATCTCATCAGTGTGATGATGTACAACAGGAACTAACTCAATTATTTTACAAAGTGGAAGAATGAATGGGCTTACAGAAGACTTAAGATTCATTTGATATTTAACTTAACATGCAACAAAAACAAGTAGAGTTAAAACATAAATTAAAATAAAATTAAAAAATAAATACAAGCGACATCATATTTCTTCTACTAGCTGTTCTAAATATCATGTAACATTTGCTTTGTTTATGCTGACACGTTGTTTCTTGTCTATTTATACAATAAATTTAAATAAATCTTCTCTGGTCAATATACTATTTCCAAAGGAAAAATACTTATAATCAGTGGCAGACAAACACAGACATGCACTTCCTTTTATTAGGCATAACTGAACAGTCGCTAACACTGAGCTGATCCAGGAAAACACTGATGTATTCAAAATAGAAAACTTCCTTTTCTGCTAAGTGCACAAAACAACTATTTAAAGTAGTTTTTCTTTGTGGGCAGTGTAATTCTGAAAATATTTCTCCTGTTAGCCTACAAACTGTCATGGACTCGGCTATCTTTAGTCAGTGAAACTTCAGAGGCTGAGAGGAATCTGCCCACAGAGAGCAGTTTGCATGGACAGAGCTCTGAGTTACAAACCTTGCACAAAAGGGACCACACCTCCTGTTTGTCTACATAGTATTAGCACTACGTAAGCTAAACCTGGAAGATGGCTTGTTAGCCCAAAGGTTTTCTATTTTTTTCCAATTATACTTCCTTGTCTAGTTAAAATTAACAATGAGACTGATCATTCTGGTCAATATTTTATATTAAAAATCAAATAATTTTCATATTGAAATAAAATTTGAAATTGCAGTCATTTAGACTCTACTTCAAAACTACCTTTTCTTATGCATTTCTGAAATGGATATATCAAAAATTACATGAACTGTGTAAGAAAAGATATCATAATATTTAAGGAAACAGCATTCAGTCTTTAGTTTACAGAAATTGGCTAGACTAGACTTTTCTGACAAATTATATTGTAGCAATATAATAAACTGTGATATTTAAAATTAGACATTTTGGTTCTATGACTGAACTGGAAAGCCAAGAAAGAAATATTCCAAGACAAACTGAAAAAAAAATACTTAATCTGACAAGAATGAGCAAATAATTTGAGGTTGAGCCAACCCTAATCTTTTGTACTTAATATTTTATTTTTTAAAGCTATGCTTTTAATTCTTTGCATCATTTTTATTATTGTTTTTAACTATTATTTCAGTTAGTCTGTTACAAAAAAATGTTGTCATGATACTATTTTGTTTTGAAACATGCTATTTGGAGGGTTAAATGTGTTTAAAGAACATTTCAGTGTCCATGTCCTGCAACATTCAGTTTCTGGTAAGTTTGCATTTTACCTTTTGAAGTTATACCTCCAGTTGTAATGGAAATTGCAATGTATTTTATGCATCCTCATATGGTAGCATAGACAATGCTGATGTTTTTATGCAGAAAGAAGGAAAGCCAGATACTTTTATAACTTTTCCATAAGGTTCTATGTATGACTTTCAAGAATAGCTGTTTGTGTTGATATAGAAACACTGTCATGAAACGTCATTCCTGTGTTCTGTAGACTGCTGGAAGGGGTGACACAATGGTCCTTCTGGATTGAAACAAAATGAATTTTTCATGTTTCAACATTCTGAAAGTAGTAGATTTTCTTCCAGTAAACAGATATGCAGTTACATACTTATTACAAAAATAAATTTCTATCATTCTCAAGAGGAATATTACAACAATTTTTTTTTACTGTATGCAGGTTGTACAGGACATTGAACAGATGTTTTTGAATTTGAGTCCATAGTCATGATTGGAGACTGTCAATATGTAAGTTTGAAAACCCCATTCTTTTTTTCTACAGTCAGAGCAGAAAATAGATAAGACTTCATGCACAAGGAAATTCTAAATCATATGCAACTAAACATGTTTGGCGTTGGCCTGAAACCACCAGAATCACTTCAAAGAGTTCTACATTTTGTCAATTTTGCTGTGAGCATAAATGAATGACTTCCAAGAGACTTAATTTATGCACTCTGATTTATAGAATAAGCACTAATAAAGCTATTTTCATTATATATTTCAGTTTATGAGTACAGTCTTGTAGACCAACAGATGCATATATATGAATGTTTTGCTTATGATACAAACTGATTAAAACTTCTCAGTTCCTTAACTAAAGGCACAGAGCCTCAAGACAACTATTTTGAATTTTTTTGGCTGTGTATCATGCACTTAACACCCAGATGAATGAATTCACATCATTTGAATGTGAATTCATGTCCCTCAGCTGTCTAGACCAATGGCCATCTCTTAGGATGACAGAACACGTTCACCAGGTTGGACCATTGCTTGAGGACAAACACGTCAAGAAGTGGCTGGTTTAGATGTGTAGCTTGTACACTACTCTAAATCACTTCTTTAAAAGCAAAAGCCTTAGAGTTTAATGTCACCATGCACTAAATTATATCCTTTAGGTATACATACAACAGAAAGAAAATATATTCAGAAGCAGAAATAAAAAATTTGAAGGGGCAGTTGTGGATATCAGTAACTTCAGCCATGTTGAAGATTAGGAAACCTAAAAACCCTAACTAAGATACAAATACAAACTGGTATGTCAGTTTGACAGCAATCAATAATGTCAGAGGGGATAAATGATTTACAGAAAAATGACTGTTGAAATCCACTGAAAACAAATAGTACTGCCACTATGACCAAGCATCACTGAGACAGTTTGGGTTGTTTACAGTGCCCATAGTTTGACACCTTGCCCAGAAAAGATGATTCCTAGTAGACTTAACTGTAGAGAAAGGCTACTCATGGCTATAGGTAGAGATATCTAGAATCTGTTGCTTTGGTTAAGCAAAATTAAGCCAGTATGGGATCATGATTCTCATCTCTAAGAACTCCATGGAAGGAGAAAAGTTATTTAAATTATGATGCAATGTTAATGCAAGAAGAAATAGGATTGTGAATACATCTGGGAATTTGGAAGATGATTCCTGAGCACTACAGCAGTGAAGTTCTGAAAAGCGTTACAATACTAGAGGGGCCAAAATGTTTCATGAAGTTAAATTCTTACTACACTGGAAGCCAGCCATCATTATCTTCCAGTAAACTAAAATTTGAGCAATTTAGTATCTTAATTACTTTAAATCCCATGAAACTTTTTTTTTTCTTCCAGTAAAAGTTATTATTCTGCTATTATCCAAAGTCTTCCTTTCAGTGATATCTCCTACAGTGTAAGATTGTTCATCTACTTTTATAAACCTTTGGCTTTTTGTTCAATGTACATTTTTTAAAGCCTTCTAATGTTACAAAATAGAATATGTGAGATGTAATTAAAATGTTTCTGGCTGTTACATTCAATGCATTTGCTCTAAAATTTCTAGGCTGATAAGCAGTTCAGCACTAGTTTTTACTATTTTCAGCCTTGTATCAGAGGTTTTGCCAGTCTGATTACTCAAACTGCTAGACTGAATTTAGTGATAGACTGTGTGGGATGTTACTTTACAGGATTAGTGCCTGATTGGCACTGTGATTTCATAAACATGAACCCACAGAATCCTTATAATGCATGGGGTATTTAATACTCTGCACACTCACAGAAGATAAATGTGCTTGTAAATGATGAATAGGAACTCCTGGGTTCTTAAGACTTAGTAAAAACAATGCTTAGAGAATTGGGTTAACTTAAAACATTAAAAACATTATGGTTTTTTTTTTTTTTCTTTTTCCTGAAACCAAGGTTTTCATTTTTTCTTGATTTGGGATGACTGAGTTTTATTTCTAAACAATTGCTAAGTGCAAATCATGTGATCGGTAATCATTTTATTCCTTATTTATTGAATGCTTCAATATTCTATCTTAAGAGAAACATAAGCCTTTGAGGGGGATGAAACTCATCCTCAATCAAACCCTTCAGTTTGTTCTTAGAACTACTTTAGTTTCACATAAATGTTTGTTTTCAAAAGCATGGTTTATTTTGCTACTTTCACTCCTATTTTGACCTTCATGTTAATTTTTGTACCTCTTTTGGTTGAGATTTTAAAGGATTTGTATGCAAAAAGTTAATTTTGACTGTAATAAAAGTTTTTTTTTCCTTTCCCCAAAAATGGCCAAGTAGACACACAACTCATCTATAAATACTGTTAATTTTGATAAATGAATATTTCAAGGTAGAGAAGCAAAGTACCTGGCTCAACCCATGAAGCATGACAGGCCTCATACTGACATCTATGTGTGTGGTGAGGAAGGGCACAAATAGTAAGTGGGAATTTTGAAGAGAACACTAATGTGTGAATTCCCACACTGTTGCTCATATTCCTAAATATTTGTCTTCACTCCCAATCACTGACACCAAGGAAGATCTGGAATGTCAATTATTGTTCTATTGAACTGTATGATAATGCAATGTGGAAGGCAGTGTAGGACCCATACATGACCAATATCAAGGAAGGGATTTTGAAAGTCCACCACGAAGCCAGACTTTGTTTTTCTGATTGATTTTCACTGGGCCTAAACTACATTGCAATTTGTCTTGCTTTTATGGAATGTTGTGAAATTTCTAGGCTAACTTTCTGATTTCTAAAGGGAATAAACAACCCCTCTATGAACTGGTAGTCACCAAAATGCATTTGAAATCTTGCCCCACTGATAATCAAGTACAATGAGTGCATGCAGGACACTACAGTATAGTTTGGTTATCAGCTTTGAACCAGAGCCTCTGCTTTCATGCTTGCACTTTACATTACAGGACTATGTGGAGCTACTTGAGTTAATCAGAAATTGAGTAGCACCTTCCTGCAATAATTTATCCCATGGGTAAAATAAGTAGCACTCAGTTCTGTGGTACTGCAATGAAAACTGTAGGACATAGTTCTGCCTTTTCAGATGCCTGGAGGTGTTGCAATGTGACATGTAACCATACCCTTATTACTGTGTTTGCACTTCTAATAAGTTTCATATTTTTCCTTCCTAGCAGCTTTTTAGACTGAGGCAATACTTGTATCCTTCTGCTTGATTTTTTTTTCTTTTTCACACAAGATTATTCTATAGCTCTAAGTCATCCACATGCTGCTATTTCTTAATGTCTTTTTCTATGAATAAAAAAGATTTTTTTTCTTATGATTGTGTTGTGCAAAAAAAAAAAATATCATGCAGATTTTTTAATGTAATTTATTGGTGAATCAGAAGTCTCAGAGGTAATCTGTTAAGAAGAGTTTTGATACTTTTTCTTGCATTATTGCAGAATGATGCTTTGGCCCATTGATGTGACATGACTGTGTTTTGGTTTAGCATGATCAGTTTTCATCTTATGAAACATGTGATTGTTCACCTTGCTTTACTGTAATCTTCAGGGAATTTCAGCCTGACAGACTGCTATAAGTTTTGGAACTGGTGGATCAAATCCAAACTTCAATGTCACCATGATGAAAATATTCATAAAGAATTTTTTTTTACCTATTCTTACTCTCTATGGGACTTAAGTTCTCTTATTGGATATTTTCACAGGGAACACCACAGTGAAAAGCTTCAGGAGAAGGAGGGAGACATAGTGAGGGATTTCAGGGTGAGTAGGTCAGATTCTTTGCTTATGTTAGACCTACAGAGAAACCAATAAGAAAAGAAAACAAAACAAACAAACAAAATAAAACCATAAATCTTTATAAAAAAGAGATACCAGTGATTAGAGTAAAGAAAGTGAAAAATTCTATTTCAGTCTAAAGCTCTTGCAAATACAAAAAGGTGTGTCTTGCTTGAAAAAGTGTCAGACAGGAGCCTTATGTGTAGCTCTTTAATTGACCATATGTTCATGAAATGTTTGTGTGAATGCTTGTTTGAATCCTAAAAAAGAAAACCCCATTTAGACAACAGTGTGCAGAGAAATGTTGAGACTATTGATAATATATACGCAAGGCAGAAAAAGTTTTGAATGGTCCTACCTCATATTTTTCTTGCAGCCTCTCAGAATGTCTGAAGTCATAGATATAGTTTGGCTTTATGAAGTTTTTTCCTCTGGTAAATTACTCCTATTTCTTAAGAGTGTTGCCCATACTGATATGTGCCCTCCTCTTTTCTAATCAGTGAGGACTGGAAATACTTGAATATCCAGGATAATGTATTGTCCTACAGACACACACTAATTGACAGAACCAGATGCGAATGTACATGCACGTACATTATCTATCCCACTCTACTAAGGTAACCACAGCCCCTTTAGCCAGCTGTCAGAAGTCTTATGAGAAAATGCCATAGTAATTTTGTATTCAGATGGGAAAGGACCAAAGACAGAACCGGCAACAATGTAAATTCCTTATCTGCGTAGCAAATAGCTTCTCCCATCCTTTCAGCCCCGGTGTGAAAAAGAAATCACTGAAAGTCGCAAAGTTATTGACCTCACTGCCTTGCAATGCCACAGTCACATTTTCTCAGCACTGTATTTTTTCATCTTAAAGACCAAACAATTAAGAATTTTCTCTCTTTCCTAAAGGACCTCACACATATTTTAAGACTTCTTGCTCCACTATATTTTAGACAGAAGCAGTTGAAGCAGTTTATATTAACTTCTACTCTGCTCAGAGAAGCGGAGTAGAAGTAAAGTTAACAAAGTGAGGAAACCTTTTCAATATTTCAGTTTTCAGTCTCTCTCTGTTCTTGTTAAATTTCTGCACCACGGACTCTTCCTTTTTTTTTTTTTTATGTGACTGAATAAGCTTGAAGTTTAGACTTTATCTCCAGTGGGGTACAAATAGCTAGTGTAATTCCTTTATTAAGAGAGCTAACCTTACACCCAAATATGAGGTTTCTTTATTTTCTTACACTTCACTTTTCCCTTCAGCTCTTTGCTTTTGTAACTTGTGTAATACATTATTAGCACACTACATACATTCTCTAAATTTCTGTCCTGAGGCTTTGTTAGAACTGTAATGTTTATTCTAGATGTACCATCGCAAGGGGCACACTTTTGAAATATATCTGAATGTAAATGAGAGTTTCTACTTAAAATTGGTATTACATAATACATAAAGGAACAGAGTAATGATTTGTCTTAGGTGTGAAGTTTTTGATCATGCTTTATACCCACCAACAGGTGCTGTTAAACCTCAATTTATCCCTATAGATGAATTTGTTAAAAATAAATAAATAAATAAATAAATAATCCTTTTGAGGAAGTCTCTGCGTGGAGCAATAGGCTTTGCTGAATCTGCTCACTTCTTTCTACGAGACCATACATAGTTTTATATTACACAGATGGGATCCTGCAAACTTTATAATACATTTTGAACGAAAGACAATTTAGGATTGCCAACATGAATAAAAATTGGGATAAAAGAACTGTTAAACCAAAGAGCAATGCTGGCATCAGAATATGTGGATATAAAGTAACAATGATGGTACTTTGAAACTTGGAAAGCCTTCTAATTGTGAGAATAAAGAAACTGCAGAATAAATTTCCAAGCTAAGTGTAAAGGAGGAGAAGACATCCAAGAGCTACAGTCAAAATATCCTTATAGCCCAAGATGAATGTATCATATATACACAGAATTTACACTTAGTCCAATACATGTATTAATGGATTGATTATCTAATCAATACAGGAAAAGCTCATTGATATCACAGTTAAAATTATTACAAAAGTAACCTTTTTTGTATCTCCCTCTCTTATCTGATATTGGACTCACCCTATCAATATTCCCCTGAGTCCTAATACTCAAAATTGTAGTCTATCCCGGAAGAGCAAGGAAAAGTTATGATTTCTTGTCAGCATCCTGAGATATTCAGCAGATGTTTATCATTTTTTCTTCCTTCTCTGTCTTTTTCTACCCGTCTGTTTTTTATGGTTTCTTAGCAAAGTTTGCTTCTTTCCTTTGCTTACTGTCCCAAAATTAAAAGTCATCCACAGCCTTCCCCAGTTTCTGTTACCCCAAAGGGCTGTGGTTTGTTGCACAGTGGTTTCCTGGGTCTTCACCACACTGGGTATTCCCAGCACTTAAGCTAGAACTGACTCCTGAACAGCTGCTAAACCAAGCTAAAAGCAACTCAGACCAATATGAATGGAGACAAGTGAGACTGTTCACTGCCAGGTCAGTGCAAAGCCGTATACCTTCTCCTGGTAATGGCAAAAGTCATGCTTACCGGGCTACAGAAGGGCTTGAGCATTTATAAAATGATTATATTTTTCTGTAATTTTGAGAGTTTGGATTTACTGACCCATGAGTGACCCCAGCTTCATATTCTTATATACCTAACTTGTGCGCATGGTATTGGGTGATACATATTTGCAGGTAAAGAAGTATGAGAAGTACTGCAAGTGTTAGAATGACATACAAGTGTGCTTTCTAACAGCAGTTCACTAAATGAAATCTAATAATTGAATTCAGTGAAATTTTAAATTGCTTAACATGCCCCAGATCAAGAATAATTTTAATAATGCCAAATAAACACTTCTAAACAAAATTGTTATTATACCTTTTTTATTGAAATGTCAAGAGTTTGAGCAGAGAAGGGTTAACTACAATTAAGTAAAGCGACAACCAGGACCTTACTGTATAAGAGAAGATAGTGTCAATAGTTAAACTGCAAAACAGGGTATCCTCTATGGAGAAAAAAAAGGAAAAGAAAAAAAAAAAAAGAAAAAAAAAAAAAGGAAAACATTTGGAAGACAGCTACTGTTTCTCTGTAAACATGAGTTAATTTGGACAAGAAGTTTGACCCTGTGAGCACTAAGGTCAGTTTTAAATCTCCTAAATCCTAATTTCAATGCTGTAGAAACATGATGTGAGGCTGTATTTCCACTCACATCATCAACAAGAAAATGTGATGGTAGTTTTAACACTACATTATTAATAGCCCATTGCCATAAACAAATTGCTGTCATCATTATGCAATCTTATTAAAATGTAGCTGCTTGATAAATTGAAAATATCACCCCTTTAAGAGAAAAAAATAACTTCAAAATTGTTGCGTAGGATTACCAATATCTGTGCCTTTTTTCCAGAGTTTTGTTTACCCTTTCAAAGTCCTCTGTGTCATGCAGTTGATTGTACTAGCCTTCAGCACAGAGGTTGTGGAACATCACAGCCAGTGGTCAGCATGCCTACTTTTTCACTGGGAGTTCAGTGCTCCTGTTGGGTGTTTCTTCTTCCTTAGTCTTGGGGTGTGCTTGCACTACTTGTTTCTATAATCGGTCTGCTTCCTTTCTGTTGCTTCCTGGCCAAAGTGAGAAAGATACACTCCCAGTGCCCGAGGCCCTCATAATCCAAGGGGCTGTTCTTGCACTGTGTTAAACTGGCCAAGCTCTACATAGATTCTTTACTAGTGTGCAGGTTGGTACAACAGGAAAAAAGCTGTATGTGGAGCTTGAGAACTGTTCTCTCAGACAGCCTACAGAATTCTAAAGCAAGCCTGACAGCGTAGCATTTAGCATGGTATGATGAAATAGGGTCAAGAAGACAACTTAAAAAATTATAGGGGCATTCACGAAAATGAATTAGGAGGAGTGCAGATCATCTAGCAAATTATTTCAGTCATGGAATAAAACATGTCCACGGACTCTTTTATGTGAGCTGCACATGTGTCCCAGATAATGTTGAAGTAAATCAAGCACAGGTACAAAAAATGTCCTTAACGTTCTGCATTTAGCAGAACATTTAGCATTCCCTCTTGCCCCCACAAGATTAAAAAAATGTACAATTTCAATTCACTTAAAGGAGTGGCACAACAAAGGTTGTAGCAATGCTTTCTTGAAGTTTAAAACAATGCTTTTTCATTTATTACAATAGAAGTGTCCATTTATATGTCTTTTCATTTTACAAATATGGGTATTAGTGGCTGCTAAACTGTGTCATGCTGCAGTTTTTAAAGTGCCTGAAGGGAAGAGCAGATTTTATTGTCTGGCAGTTATTTAAATCAGTTATAAATGGTTGTTTAGAAAGCTTCCTTTAGCATTTCTATTTGGAGCAGGGAAAAAAAAAAAAAAAAAAAAAAAAAAGCATTTGGAGCATGCATGAGTTAATCTTTGATTAGTAGTCTCCAGAAGAGAGAGAACTTTCATAAAAATGCCATTTCCCTTGGGGGAAAAAAAAAAAAAAAAATCACAAAAACTCTTCAAACCTGTAACTAACAATGAGTGTTCAGTAACAGCATATGGCCAGGCCAGCCTGTGAAAGCTTAGAGCCAATGAGTCCCTGCAAGATCTTACCCTGGTAACTGCTACACAAATATAGCTATGCATTTAGGCCTGGAGTTATGTAAAATAACTTAAGTGAAAAAAAGGCATTGTATATGACAGTTTGAAATAAACATTCATGCTAATAAAGTTCGTTCCATTATAGTCAAAGAGAGTTTTACTATCAGATTTATCTGTGATTGTACCCACTGTTTTAGTCTCCCATCTTAAGATGCTCAGGAGGATCCATTCACAAGGTGGATAGATCAATGGGTTTTATCATTGCAGGGATGCAAGCATTTAAAAGAAATTAAAACAGTCTAGAAAAATAACCTCTAGCAAACAAATACTTAAAAAAAAAAAAAAAAAAAAAAGTGAATTGAAATATGGGAAAACTTTCT